CCCCAAAACCCCAAAACCCCTTAATACTAAATTTAATTAGAGTAGAAATTGGAGAGGAATTCAAAAAGTAATATTTTAACTTTAAGTATAATATTTACTATGGTTACATATAACATAATTTCAATAATATATCTATCAATTATAGCGCAAACATTTAAAACATAGACTTGTATGAGCTAGCTTCCATTATTTTGGGGTTCATAACCTTCTGGAGTTGAAATTCAGCACATTTTTTATGATTCTAATAGCGAGGAGTTTTACGCTTTCTTCTCAGAACCTTCTACAAATTCAATGCTTGTTTATCGATATAGCAATTATGGGAATCTTTATTGGATTAGGCGAATAACTCCATAAAATGCAGATTAATTATAAAATGTGATTATCGATGAATATAGTGAATACTTAGTATTTGGAGGCTCAAGATTAGGAATAATATCGCAAGAGAAAGGAGAAATTTAAAGTTACATATCTTTTGATCCTGCTTTGGATGGACTGCAGAATTAGATTATACCAGTATTCATGGAATATCTTGAAAATATTATTGTGATGTCATTTAATCCAGCTTGATTATATTATCAATATATGCTTCGAGTTTCTATTGATACAACAATATAAATACTAAATTCTAAACTTATTCTGATAGATTCAACTACTATATTTCCATTTTTTACAGTTGACTATAACTTTGATACTATACTATGGTCTCAACCGATATCCACTGTTAGTGCATTTGTTGTTCAAAAAATTAAATTATCAACATTATCCTCAATGAGTATTTATTAATACTCACATCCATCCTATGCTTATACCACATATACCAGAATTCATAAAACTCATACAAGCAATGATGAAGTAGATTTATATTACTCTAGTTGTGTTCATATGAGAGATATTTCATTTTATCCAAATGACTTCATATCAGTTATAATTGACTCTAAAACAGATTCTAGCATTTTCTAATCTTGGGAATATTACTCTTCACAAGGAAATACTTATTGTGGAGATATTCATTTAGACATAAATTATAATAGAATTATGCTTGTCATTGAAAATACTGATGGATCAGGATATTCTTATATTAGTTATGCTGTCTTCAGAGTGAATTCTTTACAAATTAAGCTTGGCGTTTTATAAGATGGTTCATTAAATCCTCTAATGAAATTTACAACTGGCTTTAATTCAGGCAGGTATTTCCTATATGATGCATATGATATTTCTTAAATGAAAATTGGAGGGGTTTTATCAGAATTCAATTTAGTTTCACAACCGATAAATCCTTCAATATTATTTGATTCCCCAAAATAATTTTGCTCATAATTAGTTTACACAGAATCATAGTTAACAGTAGCAGATGGCAATTTTATCAAGTCCTCCACTCTTTCTCAGTCAACTACTACACAGGCGATATTGGCTGGTATGATTACAAATCAGACTAATACTGTGGAGTCTTTGAATGTAACTGCAGACATATCTCCTTAAAACACTCCTGCTATATGCAACAATAGGCCAGATAAGCCTATTATTGTTCCAAGCATTTACTCTATAAACTATGAAGTAGAATATAGTTCATCAATTGACATTATCCTTAATCCCTACTACTTGATATCCACATGCAGTGCATTAACCATTACTAAATATTAAAGTTACTGGCATCCGATAGATTCAAATTCAGTGAATTTAATTTACTTAGATTATGATACATATGAAGGGAGAAAGGTTCAATTAATAGCTGATGTTGAATCACATCTCAAATATAATTATAGAATATATTGGACAGTTGAGCTTTCTGATGGAAGTTCTGTTGACACAGATGATTTTATAATTAGAATTACTTAGAAAACTATTTCTACAGTAATATAAGAAGGATAAAAGCTTATCTAAATCAATGAGACTTAAACTGCACCTTATTTTATGGGTTAAATCTAAAATGGAGTAACATAGGCATCATTATTATATGCTCAAATAATTCCAAAAATAATAGATGATTAAGACGATGACTATAGTATTAGTATACAAAATCTTAACTCAACTCTTAAATAATTTTGCTAAATTAGTTCCAAGCAAATCATCTGCACTCCTCAGCTCGAAGATATAGGAATTAAAAATTTTATTGTTACTATATAAGAAAAAACATAATACCTATTGCAGAAATAATATAATTTTACCTTGCTAGTAAAGAATTATGATCAATTAACTTAAAGTGATAATCAGATTCCAAGTTCAGGTAATGAAAGTGTAACATCAAATGGTTCTGCTGTCTCGGATCAAAACTCAAATCAAACCTCCAATTAAGTTGGACCTAATATTGTAAAACTTTAACTTAGATTAGTGAGGGTAAATCAATAA